AATATAATTTATTGTTCTCCAGAAGCTGACAATACTTTTGCATTTACTGTAAAATACAGAGACTGTTTTATTACAGCTTTGTAAAACAAAATGGAGGCGTTTTAAATGTATAATCTAGCGGATTTTCATTTCTTTTTGTGTCCTACCAGACCTGGATTGGTGAAGACCCATGTGGAGATGTTTGCCCCGGTGCTCATGATGTACTCCACGTCCAGGCTGGCCTCCAGGCCGGCTTTCCCTCCTCCCTGGGTGCCGACGACCCGATCCACCTCGGAGCGATGCTGGAAGGTCCCACCGAACATCTGCATGAACTCGGCCAGGTCAGCTGGGTGGTAGTACTGCTCCAGAAACTGAAGAGGAGGACAGAAAAACATTAGTTTTTCTTTTTAATGACCCGGTTTTAAGCCTCTTATCCATTATTATTTTTAACCACAATCCTTCGAAAGCTAGCTGTAGCTTCGCACTTTGAGCTGACGTCACGGCAAATAAACGGTCGTTTACATGCAGTACCTTGCGGACCACCAGGGGGCGCAAGGGGACAACAGTTTGAGAAAGACAGCTGTAATGTCTACTGGCTTTTTCCTATTATTTTTACTCAAATAAAAGGAAAAAGTAGCCAAGAAATTACTCAAAGAGTAAAAAAGTATTAGGTAAAAAGTCTACTCCAGTAACCAATCAATTTATCATTCATTCAATATTTAAAAATTGCATAATTTCCACTTAAATTATGAAGTGGAAATTTTGGTATTTTAAGGACCAAAATGACAATAATTCATATAAGTAACGAAAACAAAACAAAAAAAAAAACAGGCAAAATAACATTTTTCCAAATCAGTTTCTTTCAATAAAAACAATGAAACTTTCACAGAAACTGCAGGTGTGAGTCTGGTGAGTCTTTGGTTTAAATGTTTGTTTTTCATTCAGTAGAAAATCCAGGTGCTGGGTTAAACATTGTTACATGTTATTTCTGATTATTTACTAGAAAATTATGTACATTAAAAAAAATAAAAATAAAAAAAACACAAGATGAGACAACATGAAACAGTTGTTGATCTTTTTGCTTTTCCAATTTTCTTTTGTGGATTTATCTGTTGTGGCTAAAGGATGTTGATTGTGTCTGTTTCCACCAATGAGGAAAAGAAGAGAAATGAAGTAAAATAGAAAGAAAGTGAGAAAGGCTTAATAAATAAATCCTGACCTGAGCGACGGCCTGGCTGTTGTTCTCAGCTGATCCCACGTCATTCGCCGTCAGGTTGTAGCGAGTTCTCAGGACGGCTGGCGTCACGCCGAGGTGAGCCCCCGCCTTGGAACGCGGCCCCTTTCTGTTGGCGTCTTTTTCTCTAGGTGGGACACGATGAAGGCCTCCGACTACAAAAGAGCAAAACAAGGTATTAGAACCGATCCGGACTTGAAAACATGACAGCTGATCAGTTTAGAAACTAGCAAAATCTCACCAAAATCCAGATGTTGGTGAACCTCATTGTGGACTGAATACGGACTGGAAGATCTCACGATGGAGTGACCGTTTCTGACGTAACGGTGAAATCTACTTCCTGGAAGAAGAGCCTCTGCAACCCTTAATAGAAAAAAGAAAAAAAGAAATCCTGTTAAACTCACTACCGTAATCAAAATGAACAGGTGTGCAGCAAAGAAAATATTTTTTATTTTTTGACACTCTAGAGTTTCAGATTAAGAAACCAGGTTTAAAACAATAAAAAGATAACCTGAATAAATACAAAGAGTAGTTTCAAATAATTGAATCAACCAAACCAGGGCTGAAACAATTGATTATTGAAATAATCATCAACTAATTTAGAAACTGATTAATTGCCGTAAAGGGACTCAAAATAAAGGCCATTTGCTGAAAGAACAACATATTCAAAGCAGTAATTAAGTCAAAACTGTGCAAAATTTTCTTGCTAAAAGTTACTTTTAAGTTAGTTTTGTCTAGTTTTGTAGTTTTGTCATGCCAAAAATATTTGCACTGGAATCTAGACCACAAAAAGATTGTGTTTTTACAGTGTTTTGTGAAAAGCTGCCATTTTAATAGACTCAAACGGCTCCAATCTCTGCAGATTGCAGCTCACAGTTTCACCATTTTCACTGCAAAAACAGGAAGTTCCTCACATGGTGAAAGCAGAACCTTTACACAGAAGTTGCAAAACCCCAGCAAGAGTATCTGTGTTGCCTCCCAAGTGAGTGAATAAAGTAAAGTAAAGCAGCTGAGAGCAGATGTGCTTACTCTGCAGTCGTGCTGCACTGTAAAAAGTCCTGAGTGTGGACCGTCCGACAGTTTGAAATCCCGTGAGTCTGCAGCCAGCGGTGCACCACCTTCTGGGTCAGTGCAGACGGACGAACCAGAGAGGAAACTTCCTGCAGACTCAGGTGTTTTCCTGCAGAGGACAGATCATTTCTCTCTCACTTAGTGACAGAATCAGATCCTGCGTTTGTTTAAAAACCTCACTGCCTACCGTACTGAGGCGAGTCGGGGTCCGACACCCGTCTGAGCGTTTCCTCCAGCAGGTCGACGTTCTGCTGCTTCAGGGCAAAGGTCAACTCCAGCTGCTCTGAAGGATCCACCCGACCTGCTTGGGTCCAGTCCTGTGGGAGTCTAAAAAAAATAATTAAAATTAGGATTTACTATCAGACATCAATAAATACGTTGATATCTTTGCTTTGGCCATTTATGGCAAGCCATTTTAACATATAATAACATATAAAATGTCTTGTTATAAGTGAAAAAGAAAACCTGCCAATAGAATAAAAACATTATCAGTATATGTTGTGCTGAAACTTTAAGTGCTTAGCTCAACAAGTTTTTTCCTGAAAGTGAGATTTTAGCACCAATGCAACCAGCTGGATCTATAAAGGATATGGTAACGGTTTAAAAATGTCAAAAATAGTAAAAAATTCAACACTTGTTCTTGAACGGTAAGCATTAAATCCAGTTTGTGGAGTTTTGCGATCACTATAAAATTGCTTATTCCCAAAAAAAAAAGCCACATTAATGAGCTGAGAGGATAAAACTTTAATAAAAACAGCAGACCTGCTAACCCTGCTTTAATAGACACAGAAATAGATTTTAAAGACTATAGGAAATAAAACAATACATGAGAACAGACTTCTTTTCAAAGATATTGTTACCAAGATGTAATTTTTAATTAAAAAGAAAGCAATTGCAAATGTAGAAAATTCCTTTCATGGAAGAAATATAGTTTCAGTAAAATCAGATTTTTTTAGACAATGAATTTTTTTAGTTTTTTTTTTTTCTCCTTTGCATCAGAAACAAATGTGGTAATCATCTGTCGAAACCTCCCAACTGCTTGTCATGTGATCAAAGGAGCGTGATTTGATTGGCTAAAAGCCACAGCGCCACTCAATCTAGTGTCGATTGTTTTGGCCTGGTCGACCAAATTATGCAGGTGAAAGTTTTGCTGGCGAATTTAAAGTAAAAAATAATATTAATAAATAAAGTTGTACAACTGCAAAGTGTCAATATTCAGTATTACAAATGTAACGCATTAAAAAAAAAGTCTGGCTCTTAGACTATATTTCTTCCATATTCTTCAAATACAAATAAACCCTAGCTGACCTAAAATCATTATTACTACAGTTTTAAGTAATAAAACTAGAAAGTGATGGGATAACAGTTTCCTTACATGACATTTTGGTCATATTCAAGGAACCCGCTGGAGACCAACGAGCTGAACAACAGAGGCACGAAGGAGAGTAATCTGTTGGAGAAAAACAAAATTAAAAGGAGCTTTTCATTACAATTACACCCGGAAGTTTGAACATGCTGAAAGCAGCTTGTGTTTGTCAGACATTCTTTTATATCTGCTGCTGTCCTTTAATATCAGTTTCTAACAGGAATTTTTCATTTATAGAAACTCTGATTATCAACATTTCATCTTCTACAAGAGACACATTTCAGCTCTGACCTGCGGCGGCAGCGTTCAATCTGGGTCACGTTACAAAAATAAAAACAAACAATCGCGCCTCAGTTTCACCGAATCCCTCCGACTGTAGTTAAATTATGAAATGTATTTTTAAAAAGTCAAAAGTTACGAGCACTTACATTGTGTTCATGGTGTCCTTGACTGCTCCTGCTGTTTAAAGTCAGCTTGTGTCCTCTTTAATGAGCGGCTATACAGAGGAGTGTCACGTGACGCGGTTCCACGTGACTGCTGACGTTTTTTTCTTTCTAAACACCGAAATATTTTTTTTATTTTTTCCTATCGTTTGTATTCCCGATGAAAGATAACATAAAACGATTTTATTTTACATTTGAAAGTTGCTATGTAATAAAATATAAATTTATTATATTTTTAAACAATTTTTTTTATGAATTAGCATTTGCTGATATATATTTTTTCTTTTTTTTACAAAATTTTCCATAAATAACATAATTTTATCTTGTGGCTTAAAATGTGAAAATTTTAAGCTTTATTTTAAGATACATTTTCTAAACATAAATATTTACACCAGATATATTTATTTGTGGCTCTAAATGAGTTTTATGGGGTTTCTTTTAGTTGAATTAGGCTATTAAGGTTATAGATCCCTGACCTAACTCAGTGGTTGTAAGTTAGATGAGCCAGTCTTTATGTATACAGCATTTTTGTTACACAATGAAGGCAAGAAAAAGTGTTCTACGTTAGATAAAAACAGGAAGAAACTTAATATGATAAATTTGCTTTAGATTTTAAAACTGGATTTCACTCATTATTTTAAATAGGGGCTATATTTTAGAAACCAATGGTCAACTTAGATTAATTTCAGATTAAATGCAAGTAAAAATCATCAACCAAGATCTTTATACTGACATATGCAGCTTCACAAAAATACCTAAACAAGAATATTTGTATCATCTGATCATTTGAGGGTTTTTTTACTCATAAATATTTATTTTATTTCAAAGATTTTAGTCCAAAATACACAATTTAGCATATCTGATGTATTTTGCCTTCAAGTTTATTTAATTACAAATCAACAAAAACTGAAAGAATAGAAAAATGTTTATTCAAAAAGATAATTACAACTGGTTATTTGAAGGATTTTAAAGAAATAACATATTTACAGAAGTCCAAAGGAAGCCCAGAGCATCACTTTTCAGATCATAACCAGCAACAGAAGTGTGTTTAAATGTCCAACTTCCTGCATTTCCTAAGAAAAATCTCAGAAGGTTAAACATTACTCCTTCACTGTGATTTTCTGAGTTTCCTGAAAAGAATTTCAACTAAAAATCCTGAGATATTTGTAAATTTATTCCATGAGTCCAGATCAGTTGTCTGAGAAGTAAAAGTCTTCCTCGTCATCGCTTTCGGAAATTTCGCCGTCGTCTTCGGGGAACATCTCAAACACAAAAAAAGTGTCCTTTCCTGGACAGAGACATTACAGATTTAAGGCAAATAAACTGGAGTTTGTTTCATGTAAAATAAAACAAAATAAAGCCAGATGTTTGAGGTTAAAAAAAAGGACCGATTATAAATAATTTCCAAACATTTTTCCACCTTTAATGTTTACAGACGTGTATGTGTACCACATAAAGTTATCAGACAAAACTTTTCTTGTTTCAGGTCAGTTAGAATTACTAAAATAATTTCTATTTGTTAAATGCCAGAAGAATAAGAGAAAGAAATGTATTTATTGATGTCATATACACTAAGTGTACATACATCTCCTAAGTCTTTTGTGGCCTTGCCTTTAAGCTGTATGACTTGGGTTAAAATGTTTCTTTATTAATACACTGAACTGAAATCAGGGAAACATCTAAAACGTGCCATTTACCTATATATCTACGTGGGCAGAAACAATTAATCTGACTAATCAAATATTTAAGTAATTGCCAACTAATTTAGTCATTGATTAATTGTTAAATGGAAAATACAGACTCAAAAACAGTCAGTTAAAAGCATAAAAAAAAAAAAAAGTTTCTACTGGGTTAAGCGGGGTACGCCTACCTGTGTTAGCGCATCTTTGTACAGTTCGCTTAGCGGAAGGTGTGGGCGAGAACCTCTGAAAGATAAAAATAGGAGGTAAAGGTGTGATTTTATATCCCGTAAATCTCTGAAAGAAAACCTTTAATTCACTAGAAGTCTGTACCGTTTTAGAAGACGAGGTTTTGCGGACATTAAACTGATTCTTCTTCATCCTCTTCTGTAGCTGGAAGACGTACTTGTCGTCATTTTTCCTTTAGAAGTGAAAAAATAAAACGTGAGATGCTCGTTTGTGTGTACTTTCCATGTGTTTCATGTTAGAAAGCAGATGCAGAGGCCTTACGTGTTTGGAGAGCCGAGCATGCCAGGAGTTATGTGCAAACACTGAGGCGTCTTCGCCTCAGGGAAACACGACGACATTGGCGTCTGAGGCTCCAGGTCTGATAATGCAAAATCGTGATCTTCACTCGAACACAAGGAGGGGATCTGAGCATCGACACAGAGAAAGGAGGACAAGTCTGCTCATAATGCTTCATGCAGGGTTTCTGCAGGTTGCACCAACTCAAATTTAAGAATTTTAAAAGACTGTTATGAATGAAGTTTAAGACCTTTTATCACCACAGCAATGTCAAAAAGGAAATCGCATATATATGAAAGAATGGAAAACTATTGAGGAAGAAATGGTACCATTTCCATTCTCTTTTGGTTCCATGCTCTACTGCCTTTCCTAAATCTCCTTCTCAGCTGAATTTTAATTTTACTTCAAAATATATAATTCAACCAAATTATACATGTTCATTTTACTAGGAATGCTATCAAAAAGAGATTAACTTTACCAAAAAGTTATAACTAATGTACAGAAAATAGCTGTGTTGCTCCTTGGTGTGCAATTGTGGAATTTAATGCAAACTGACGCTATTTAGTGATAGTAAAATAAAATGTGAAGGACAGATAAAACTATATTTTAGCAAACTCCAAACAATTTAAGTGCCTGGTCGTGATCTGATATATTACACTTGAGTTAATTATGTGTTTAACCTAAAATTGCATTCTGCCATGTTGTCCTCCATGTCTTTTTTGTTTTTTAGTTAATTTCTATAAATTGGTTGAGTGATTTAATAGCTCTAGATCCTGAATAAGCTAAATAGTAACAACTTGTTGAAGTAAAAATTCTTCAACAGGTAAAACCCACTAAATAAAACATTAACTTATTTGCACAGAATACACGTAGCTTCGTCTGGGTTAGCAGCAGAAATGATTCAGTGGCGAAGACAAACGTCTTCAAGCTAGCTAGCTGGCTAGCTAGCAAGGGTATATTACCAGCTAGTTAGCGGTCACAGAACACAATAATTTGAAATCTCGTTCTTTTGTCCGACATGTGTAAAATATTGTAAGTATAAGGAGGTATGATTGTGCTTATGCTGATTTTGTTTTGTATTCTCTGAAATTGTCACTGTCATTGTTGTTAATAAAGTTCGTATTTTTTAAAAAAGAACGTAATGAAGACGTTAATGTGCGGCTTAAACTGTTGCCTGACGAAAAATCGCGTAAGGAAAATAAATACATAAACTTTACTAGATTAAATAGTTCCGCCACGGCAAAATTTAAGAATTGTAAGTAATGTATTTAAATTTAGGACATTTCAACGGCTTAATTTTAGAGACACGAATTTAAGATTTCTGCGATGGACCGGCGAACTAGAGTGTACTGCGGCTCTCCCCCGTTACGATAGGCACCAGCACCCCTCCCGACCATAAGATAATGGATGGATGGAAATAAAATCGCCCGAATCAGCCGATTAGGCGATGAAAACGCACCTCCATGCGTTTGTTCTGCATGTATGCCGAGCTGAAAGCATCGTCCACGTCGTCTCTGGGCAGATTCTCCAAGAACTGCCGCACCTGCTTAATCCTTTTAAGCGTCCCGACTCGGGCAGATATCACAGGAATCTCTGGAAGAGGACACAGATTCACAGCCCGCTGAAACACCACAGGAATACCTCAGAAATTCAGACACCTTCATCACACTCAAAAACCTACATTTTCCCGACTCTTGACCTTCTTCAGTGACCCTTACAAATATAGCATCCAGGCAGCCGTGTGCTGCAACTAACGATTATTTAGTCATTATTCTGATGATTAATCTGATATTTTGCAGATTTTTTTTATTTAACCACTTATGGCCTATTAATACAAATATTAGAAATTCATTAAAAGATGCAAATAATTATATATACATATATATTAAAAAAAACATTTTATTGCCTAAAATGCAACATCTAACATTCTTATAGTGAATTTCAACTGGGTGAAGCTACAACTGCACCACTTAATTAGTTCTGGGTGGAACATATTTACAGACAATGGTGTTTTTTTCTTAAGTAGAACATGTATTTACATATTTTGTACAGTTTTGGCTTAATTACTGCTCCGAATATGTTTATTTTTCTAAAGCAAATATTTTTTTTCCTGACTCTTTACTCCAGCTAACAATCAATTACTAAATTAGCTGAGAATTATTTCAACAATTGATTAATTGTGATTAATCCAATTGGTTATTGGTATATATGTATAAAACATGACCCCCATGCAGTCCTTAATCATTGTAATATTGTACAGAATTATATATTGTGCAGATCTAGTTATTAGTCATTCCAGATTGTTAGTCAAATTCATAGCGGTCGTTCCAACTGCAAAGCATCCATATTTACCTGCAGGTTTTGCCGCCACTTCCTTCACCTTTTTGCAGTTCTTGGTGCTTTTCTTGGGACTCTGGGTGTTTCCTTGGGAGGTGTGCTGCTTGTAGCACTCTTCAGCTGAACGTGTCCCCACCATCCTCGCTACCTTCGCCCAGTAACCCACTACGTGTCTGGGATAGCAGGTCACCGCTCTGGAAAAAACACAAACATCGATTATCACACAGACCTACAAGCAGAAACTGAACGCAGTAGCCTCTATGAACAAATCTTAAGCAATCACTGCTAATTATTTAACTTCTTTGATTGACCGATTGATTTTTTAAACTCTTAAAAAGGCCATTTGCTGAAAAAACTTTATATTCTGAGCAGTAATTAAGCCAAAACTGACAAAAAAATATCAATAAACTTTATATTTAAGATGAAAAATCATTTTTTTTGCAAATATGTTCGACCCAGAAATCCTCAAGTGACAGTTTTAGCTTCACTGGTTCGATTCCTGTTAAAAAAAATTTAATTCTCATATTAATCACCTTTTGAATCCAATTACTAAATCAATTCTTCGGTGTATTAATGTTAAGTCAAACAGAAAGGGCTGAACTTTTCACATGTTGATGATGGAAGTATGTTTTTTTGTTGTTGCAGATTTATCCTTTGCTACAAATGATTAAGCAAACTCTAAAGGAATGCTATATTATTGAATTTTAGGCAGTAATATGTTTATTTTTTTATTCAAAAAATGAATTTCATTATTTATTTACTTTCATCTTTTAATTAATTTCTGATAAGCGGTTATTAAAAAATCCTCAGAATGTTCCTTTTTTTGGTACTATTGATTTATCGTCAAAATAATCAATAGAATAATCGATAACTAAAATAAATGTTAGTTGCAGCCGTATTTCAGAGATCAATATCTGGTGAGGAAAAAGGTGATTTCCTTTTTTCCCTCAGAGCTTCATCTCATTCTTTGCGTGTTTTGGGAATATTCTACGTACTCCTGCAGTTTCAGGATCTCGTCCTCCGTCCACTCGTCTCCGTCTTTCTCGTGCGGAACAACGGCGCTGCCTTTGCTTTGTTGCAGTTTCCTGCCGGGCTTCGTCGCCGTCGCTGGTGGCGGCGCCTTCCTACTCCTGCTCTCTTTCTTCTTCTTCTCCTGCACCTCGTTCCTCTTTCCCCCTGCTCTGCTTTTCTTTTTCTCCTTTGGAGCTTCTGGGGACTGGCTGGATGAAACCTCATCATCCGGATCTGATTTGCCAGAACTCGCCATAGCTTTCGCACCGCGCCCTCGTCTCCTTCTGGTGCTCAGCAACTCGTAATCACACGACAGTCGGTTTGATGCCTTATTGCGAACTGGAGGAGACTCATGAGGATCTGTGACGGTTTCTGATGTTCTCGTTGGCGGCCTGGTGGCGTTCTGTGTCTGTTTCTTTGATGACCTCTCAGGTCCACGTCGTTTCTGTGGTTCGGCGTCCGAACACGACCTTTTCTCTGCACCTGGACGCTGCCGGTTGCACCTCGTTCTGCCAGAAACGGCTTTTGGATTGCTAATCATCTCGTTAGATGAATCAGCGGTCTGGTCCCGGTTAGTCTCAGCTCTGTGCAGCTTCATGTCCGCCTTTAACCGTCTCGCTGGTACAGAGCAGCTCTCGTCTTGACTCGATTTGTGTCGCTTCAAACCTGGAAGCAAAGGAGACATTTGTGATGAGACTTTGCACAATTCAGCGCCAAATGTTTTCCTCCGCTGACCGATGTACCGTCATTGCAGGGGAAGAGGACTTGCACCGACTTCTTGGGCTTGCTCGTTAAAATATCCTGTGAGAACAAGAATATTAACAACTTAGAAACCGGACAGGAATGGAACTAGCAATTATTTTAGTTTTTGATTAATCAGATTAAAAAAAAGCCATATAGTGGAGCTTTAACAGCTCCTATCAAGCATCCCTAATATCTGAATTATTATGTAAGGAAATAATGGCCAACTCTTCTTTCCAAAATTGCTTTAATTCAGACATGTTAGAGTTTAAATTTTTTAGGGCTGCAACTAACAATTAGTAATATATTATTCTGGCAATTAATTCAGCAAAAAATTGGCACATTCTAAAGATTTTTTGTTTAACCGCTTAAGCCATTTTTATACCTCAGAAATGCATTAAAAGATTCAAATAAACAAAAAAATTATTTAAAAAAGGAAATTAACATTTTATTGTTTAAAATTCAATAATTTACCTTTCCTTTAGTGTGATTTGTAGCAAAGGATGCATCTGCAGCTTGTGAAAAGTTCAGCCCTTTCTGCTCAACGTAACATCAGTAGGGCTGATCTGTCAATTATTTTTTGGATTAACGATTAATAATTGATCAAATGGTGCCAAATATAATAATTTTTAACAGAATTTGAATTGGGTGAAGCTAAAACTGCCACTTGACGAGTTTTGAGTAGAACATAATTTGTATTTTATTAGTTTAAATGCAAAATGTATATATTTTTTGTAATGTTTTGGCTTAATTACTGCTCTGAGTGTTACTTTTTAAACAAATTGCCTTTTTTCAGTTTGTTTACTCTTGGTAAAGATTAATCAATTATTAAATTAGTTGATGATTATTTCAATAATTGAATAATTACGATAATCCGATAAATCATTTAGTCGCTGGATATCAGCATTGGTTCTCCGTATATTTTAACCCTTTATCAGTCCTTTCAGATCCTTCAGGACGTAGAAATAACAAAAAATAGACTGAACGATTGATTGATTATCAGTGATTGGTCATTGTGATGTGTGCTTACAGGGCTGGTTGCCTCGTAACCCTCGTGGATGGTAACGTTCATCTGAGCGTCCAGGATTACTCTCCCTCCCTTCCAGTACTCCAGAGGAGGCTTGATGACCCGGCCGCTTCGCGACACGTTGAGGGAGGAGGCAGAAGGAAGCGACTCGGCTGGAATTAGAAAATAAAAACTCAGAAACAGATCTAAGTTAACGCCCAGCATCCCATCTGTTCATGTTGTTCTTACGTGTTTTTACAGATTTTATTTTCTGCTGCCTCACAGGCCTGGAAGGGAGCTGGGATTCATTCTTAGCCAAAATGGCGGCATCCTTGTTCTTCTTCTCTGCCTGCCTGCAGAAACAAGATAATATTTACTCATAAAAATAAGGAAATTGATATGAAAATGCTGCATGGGTATAAATGTCAGGAGATGTTTTTCCTCTAAAACGTGATCGATGGGTCAGGGCTGAGCGATATGGCTCAAAAATAAAATCTGATTTTTTCATACCAGATCAATCAATTTTGTTTTTGCTCACTTTCTTTTCTAAAAGATAATTAACAGAAAATATTTCCAAGAAGTGACTTTTGTTTCAACCATCCCTTCTGTGAGATGTCTGAAGTATCAGGGCCAGGATAAAAGAAATTTTATTTATTTATTTTTATTTAAATACAAGAATAAAGTTATAATATCAGCAGAAAAAAAAAATTACAAGTATTATCTCTATAATCGAAACCAAATTATAACTTCACAAGATCGTAGCTTATTTTGTTGTACAGTGGTCTTGAATTCAAAGTTCAAACAAATAGAAGCAGTAAAACAGCTTGTCAAACAAGATGGCCGCCCAGCCATGCTGACATCACTCTATGGCAGTGGTTCCCAAACTTTTTCTTCTGCGCCCCCCCCAGTGGTTTCCAAACATTTTCTGCGCCCCTCCCACCCCCCCACCCCCATGGATTACAAATGGCTGTCTG